ATTAATATAAAAAAAGAGGATGATAAAGAAGAAAATGATTTTTTTTTTCTATTTCTTTTTATGAAAACTTCATCACAAGCACAAGCTCACCTCCTGTGGTTTCCCTGTGTGGTGTGCCAGGACCATCAAGTTGATGAGGGTGTCAGGGTTGCTTGGGTCCTTGTCCAGAGCTTCTTGAAGGGCACTCTCGGCCTCTTCGTATTTTGCCTGGCCAAGGAAACAAATTGCCTGGCCATTAAGGAGAAGGGCTGTGCTGACATTCTTATCCAACAATTCTTGGTATATGTAGTAGGCATCTTGCAGTTTCTCACCACCCTGAAAAATAAGAAATGTGAAAACGTAAAAAAAAAAAAAAAAGAGGGAACACAATGTGAAGCCACAAGGAAGGAAACAGCGAGCTTACTACCATTCCTGGTGTTCATCTGCGTAGGTGTGGACATGTTTGCATATATATTTACATAAACACTTCATTTATATCCTTATACACAATGTTAACCAGTCTCTTACTTATTCTACATATATCTTTCACTTCTGTATACGAATAAACAAAGTAGCATAAATCTGTGTTTCAACAAGGAAAAAGGGAACATTATATGAATAATTAGCAAATCATTGCAATAAAAAGAAAAGAAAGCAGCAGGGGAGGGGAGGGGGGTTGAGCACAAAAGCAAAAGAGAGAGAGAGAGAGAGAGAGAAGAGAGAGAGAGAGAGAGAGAGAGAGAGAGAGAGAGAGAGGAGAGAGAGAGAGAGAGAGAGAGAGAGAGAGAGAGAGAGAGAGAGAGAGAGAGAGAGAGAGAGAGAGAGAGAGAGAGAGAGAGAGAGAGAGAGAGAGGGTGAAATGATGAAACCAACCGTTGCAATGTGCGTCCAAGCCTGAGCCATCTGTGTTAGAGTTGCATCATCATCCTTCTCTTGGAGAGTCTTCAGCTCCTTTCGGGCAGCATCCAGGCGCTCCATCTTGAGGTAGGTCTGGACCATCAAGGCACGGCTGATAAGTGAGAAACGTACAAATAATTTATCTAATAATCCCCTTAATATCTGTGCATTCAACAATGCCTGAAAGATTACTAATAGCAATACAATAGAAATATATTCACATTTCCTTGAAGTCTTCTATTAGTTGTATATATATATATATATATATATATATATATATATATATATATATATATATATATGTATGTATAAGTATATAACTTTATTTTTGTTTTCAAGTAGCTGGAGGCTACTTTTTCAGTTGTATTCCTTTAAGAAGATAATTGGTACATCCTCTTCTCACAAATGACCATTATTCATACTTGTCATAGTGATTTTAACAAAAGCAAGGTTAAAAGTTACTATACCGTGTTTGTGTATAAAAGCTACCTGGCATACAGGGGATATACATCACAGTCTGTTTTTAGACTCACTTGAACCCCCCCCCCCCCACACACACACACATATATATATGACAAGTTGGATATAATTAAAAAACAAAAATCAATAATTAATTTTGTATTGCACTGCCAAATTCAAGAATGGAAGATGTTCAGCAGATGTAATTTTTTATTTCCAATAGAAACACTTGAACACATTTATGTTTTGGAATCTATCATCTAATTCCCATGATGAGAGCCTCACAGACAAATGGTCATCCTTCACTGTCTGTAAGTCAATGTAAGGTGTCCTATGATGGTTGCCTGCTTGATTCTATCAGTATTAAAGCATTCCTTTAGACCCTGGAGAGCCTGTGGCAGAGGTCATAATTTTTATCTTTTTGCTTTGTACACTCTGGAAGGGGGGGGGGGGGTTCTCAGGAAAAAAGTACTTTTTGTAAACGTGAAAGTGGTGAAAAAATAGATAATCCCTCAAGTACATGTAGAGCCACCTCTGTGTAAACACAATTAACAAACTAATATCACAATATACATGGTATGTACTTTGCCTCAGCTGCATGTACTAATAATCACTAATCAACATAAGGAACAACAATAAATATAACACTTGGACCTAATAACAGTATCCAAGATGATTAACGATAAAGGGGTAGTAAAAGGAAACAAAGGAAACGGTACAAAGAAAAGAGCAAAATTCGCTTCCTCTATCATACTTTCCAAAACAAACCCAAAAACGATATCAAACACACCAAAAGACATAAGAAATTAACCCCTTACCACTCAAGGGCATCTGACTGACTGAGGGCACGAAGAGCTCCCTCATAGTTATCCTCATGGCAGTAGATCGTTGCAGCCACAATGAGGAGGGCTGTGTTGGACAGATCGACATTGCCGCTCAGTTGGGATTCCAGCTCGTTGACAATGGTTACCCTGTTTCAGATACAGAGTAAATGTTATAATATACTGTATAAAAAATCTCTAAATATTATTGTGTAATGCGGAAAAAAAGATGATGAGGAGATACAAGGGGTCTTGTCTGTTTTCTTGGTAGTCTCTGGTCATTAGAATATATACAGGCTGAACACATATGAAGTATTATCACGAATAGACATACCTCAAATATAAAACCTCCTACTGTAATATAAATCACAAAGCACACACAAATGTAAATGCTTAAGACCTACATCACCAGAATGACAGAATTTCCTTTGGTGCACAGCTTAGATAGAAACCAGAAGTCTAATTCATCTTCTCAAAAATGCATTATAACTCACCTGTTACTGGGAAACTGGAAGTACTGAGCCAGTAACTTTAAAGCTTGCAGTGGAGGTGGAGCTGATGCTTTTATTTCACTCTGAACCACTCCAAATTTGCGCTGACCTATGAGAGCACGGTAGAGGAAGATATCTCTCTCCTGTCGCAGTTCTGGTGAACTGACCTGTAATGCAAATTGGTCTATTAATTTCTTTTAATCATTTATGATTGACTGTTGTTCAGTTACCTATTCAAAGACTATTGATGCTATCAAATTTTATCAATACACACAACAAATTCAGCTTAGACTTCATATAAAAGTTCTGTTTATAACATTTGTTTGGTGTTCTGTGCACTTGAACTATGACTAGAATTTAATTATAGTTCATATCATATGATTTCACTAAAATCATCAATATGATATTGAATGAATGTTTAGAAATGTGTGAAAAACACTTCCTTTCCATATCCATCCTAGAATTTATATGGTTAGATATTCTGTTATTCAACCCGACTTAACATAAACCTTGAAGGAAATCCTACTTGGCTACATGAAAGACAATCACAATGGCCAATAAATTTGGACTGACCTGGTTAATGAAAGGAGAGCCACATTTGCTGTTGGCTGACCAGGCCTAGTTCCAACCAAGATAGCAAACCCCTCCCTTCTTCACCCTTGGAACTGCTTAATTATATTATGTTAATCATATAATCAAAATAAAATTCAGTGTCATCCATCGTGTACGTCGTAATCGTCGGAAAAGATGACTTTACACAAACTGATATATGAAATAAAGGTAATTTTTCAGCTTCACACAGTCAACTATACTCGCGACTATCATTCTTCCTCAACTATTCACAATGTAAATGTGTGAAGCTGTCGTTGTTTCTTATCAACATGATATAAATGAAAGTATTGGTAAGTGGTGCCAGCGGAAATGCAATGCGGAAAAAGTCTAAGTGTGACACGGCCTTTAGGAAGCTTTTTTGTTCATAAAGCTACGTTTGTAGATTACTAATAGTGTAATTGGGACAATCTCAGAGGGGTAAGGTCACCAATATTTTCATTTATATTATTTGTGAAGGAAAATAACAAAAGATCAATGCATGCAGCAATGTAGATAATTGAAAGAAGCAATAACGGTTGCAAGCTTCGATGGTTGTGTGAAACTGAAAAAACATTATTTTCTTCTTCTTACTCTAATTTTCTATGGAATAATAAAATATGGTTAATCTAAAATTCACGAATCTCTTTTTTTCCTCTTACATTTTAATCTGTAAAAAAAAAAAAAAAAAAAAAAAAAAAATCTATGTAAATACTATTTCCTAACCTCATGAAGTGGACTCTAACTTGCATTTAGAAGTACCCATTCATACATATAGAAAATAAATCAATAAATATACAAGATAAAAACAAAACAACGAAGGTAAACAAGACAACAACAATCCACACATCATTTCATTTATTTCCTTTCACCTAAATAGCCAAACACCAACTCGAAAATAGACCCCAACCATTAAATTACCTGTAGTTTCTGTGCTTCGTTGATGCAATGCTGGTAATTCCCGATATAGAAGGAATTTTTCACTTCGAACAGCTCGTCCACCTCTTGGTTGGCCATGTTGACAGTTGTGTGGCACCGGCAGGGGGGCAAACCTAAGGCGTCGGGGTTGGGGTGGTAATATTTTTCTTGTGTACTTTTCTGCTAATTTTAAAACCAAAAAGTAATTTTT